CAGGGTCAATTTCGACAATGTCTTCTGTGCCAGCTTTTAGGTGGCAGAACTCGGACTCTGAGACATACTGCTGAAACACTCTGCTCTAATGTATCACCTCCATCACGTTGAGGTGAACTCCCCACACTTCGAGCAACACCGCTACCCAAGGTGCAAATCTACGCTTTCCTTAGGTTCAATGAGAAAAAATACACTTAGACTTCTCATGCTCCCTCTGGAAAAAGTGGTGGTGAGCACTTTCCAGAGGAAAACAAAATTTCCGATAGGTAGTATGCTTGAGGAAGTAGTGAGTTCCTAACCAGAATTTCACCCGTGGGCAGTAAAACGAGGAAAAGGAGCAACACTGGTCACAAAAACTAGTGACTAGAATATTCGGCTGAAAAAAAACCCCTAGAAGTTCCTTTGACTTTTCTCTATTACTTCCATCTAATTCTTCCTAAAATGAAGCTACCTCCTGAAGGGTGAGAGGTCAGGAAAACACTAGCTGGAGCACTGGGGTCAGGACAAGTAACCAAACAGGGAGAAGACCGTGAGAGTGCAAGGGTGCCTGGCGGGCATGTATGACAGGTGCCTTACCCAGAGATGGTGCACTTAGAGCCCATGCTCCTCAGGGACAGGAACCTGCTCTCTGCTGTCCTATCTATGCTGAAAGTGACAATACATACCGGGCCCTTACTATGGGTCAAACTCTGTCCTAAGTGCTTTCTGTAGGTTATTATCTCTTTTAACTCCTATGAGTTAGGTCATATTACTAACATTTTACAGGAAGAGGAAGCTGAAGCAGAGGTTAACTGACATGCTCAAAATCTTAACAGCTGTCAAGTTCAAAACCACTGGATGATTACATCTATGGCTCAGAGACAAATGAAAAGATCTAAATTTCAGAACTTGAAGCAAAAGGATCTGAAAAGTAATTACATAAAAGCCATTAAATTCACACTGAAAGGAAATGACTGATGATACACAGAAGACTACCTACACAGTGAGCAAAGCAGAGACCTATAGCCTGAGATCCCCAACACTTTGGAGAGCATGTAATTGCAATATTACTGTTGTTTTTTTTTTTTTCTTTTTTAAGATGATTAAGAGTCACATGCTCTACTGACTGAGTCAGCCAGGTACCCTATAATATTATTGTTTTTATTTTTAGTAAATAACTGAGAAAATATTTCATTCCTAAAAAGTAGATAAAATCTGGTACCAGGGCTAGATCTCCTAATGTGCCAAACTTCATTTGGGATCTAGAAGTAACTGCAAAGCTTGTGAAGATCTTCAAACTGGGAGTTAGCCAGTTAGCTGACTCTATTGCCAAAAAGACTGAAATCTGACCCAAGCACTGCAACAATAATTTTCTAAAAGATCCACAATTTGGATCCCAAGGCAACGGTTTCCCCACGATGAGTTCCAGGGTGCCATGAACAGGAACTGTGCCTGGTTAAAGAGGCCAAAGATAAGGCTTGGGCCCCACATAGATCACATAAGGGCTATGTGACCAGAGACCAGGTTTTTTCTTTGGAAATACTACAGCCTTGAAGCTTTCCTCCCCTTAAAGATTCATAATGCGTATTAATATAAAGTTCTGAGAAGCCCAATAATAAATGAACTACTTTTGTTAGTTAGTTTTGCCCAAAATTGTCAAGAAAAAAACCCTGAACATAAGTAACTCTACATGTTCCTTAGAATATATAAAGTCCCAGGTAACGTTTCTCTGGAAATACTACCTAAGATAGATCTTACCAGTCAGGATCAAATGATACAGTGAAAGGTAGGAAAAGTGGTCTGTAAACTGTAAGATTATGTGCAACGTACTGTATCAGATGACAGAAGGGGCCCTTCAAGAAGCTATGACCAGAATCCAGGAAGGCTGCTCAGAGGCCACTCACACCCCGCCCTAGGAGTTGGGTGTGGTGTAGAAGAACTACAGAGAGAAAAATCCCAAATCAAGCCCACTGAGTTTCAGGCTAAAGAAAAAGAACGGGCCAAGCGTCAAGGGTGAGAAGATGTCTTTTCCAAAGATATTCATTCATTCCACCCACAGTCAGTGAACTCTCAGTGGATATACACATTGTCAGGTCTCCTGTTGAGGTAAGTATCTAGACCTGCCAAGCTGGAAGACCCAAAAAGGTAAGGCTACATGGCAGCAAGGGTAGCTCCATCTGTGGCTCTGCGGTTTATGTTGAAGCAACATTTTCTGGTAATCACCAAGCACAGTTACTGTCTTTGCAGAGATAATCCCAAGGTAAATTCCCCCACCTGAAACCTCCTCCTTAGCCCCTAACAAACGAGAATAACGGGAACCATTAATTGGGCCTTTATTATATGTCAGATACTGAGCTAGACCGTACATATACCAATATTCCATTTCATCCTCAAAATAATTCTCTTTCTCATGAGGCAAAACTCATAGGCTGTTGATGATAAGACTGAGGTATAGAGACGTGATCTGCCAAAGGTCCGAACTAGGTAGTGGCAAACCTGGGGCTCTAGACAGGGGTCCGCAATCATTTTTTATTCTGCATCCAAAACATATTATTTGTAACTAGGCACAGGTGCCACTGTACCAACAGAGACATTTACAGGTATGATATAAATGAAATATACAGAGAACTAATATTGTCTTCTAGCATCAGTTTGGAGGTAACTGATACATTACACTGCTTCTCTCCTTCACTTCCCAGTTTTTACTTCATATTCCTCTATGCTCTGTTAAAGGCCCAGATTATTCCAGGTTCACTACCTGTTGAGCCTAAGTCTTCTCATCACTGCTCTTTCTAAAATTCCTTATGTTCTTAAAAGTCACATAAAATGCCGACAGGCTTGAGAGAAAAAGATGTTCAGTTGCTGATGGTAGTTTTCAGAAGCAGGTAAGAACTCTATTCCATCCAGTAAAGCCATTTACTGTATGTACTGCACACAGTATTTGTTGCATTATGGTAAAAACTTTTGAAAACTGTCACTTTTGTTTGTGCCAATTTCAAGAACTTAAATCCTGCTTCTTTAGAAATTCTCAGGAGAAAACCACTATGTTGTGAAATCCTCTCCCCTACCTTTTATGTTTCACAGCTGACTGAAACTGGCAATAAAAGGAAAGCAATGTTAATTATGACAATAAAGATACCTAATATGTCCCCAGAATGTAATGAGAATGGTGTTTCAGTTGTATGGGCAAAACGGGGAAAAAATTCACATGAGATGATAATTGACTGTCAGAACGAGACCACTAGCAGTTCTGTGTTAACCACTATTCTTCACATTCTCGGGGAAATACTGAATATGCGGTTTTGCGGAGAGATCGTGAGTTTTAAGGGTCGGATCAAACACAGCCTTTAAGAACACGGACAAGGCACAAGAGAGAAAAGATCATTTCAGACCACGTGGTGCCAGCCAACCACTGCTTGTCAAAGCTGTGTGGACAGACGAGCTACCTTGTTAAAAGAAACTGGGAATTGTGGACAGTCTGCGGACTGCTTTCCGTGTTGGCGATGTTGGTCGCTGCCGTGGACTGCGTGATCGTGGTGGTGACGCCGCTCGTGTTAGCGCGCCGGGTGGCGTTGCGGGCGGTCTCCAGCTGCTGCCGCGCCGCCTGCGCGTGCTGCCGCTCCAGCTGCAGCTGCATCTGCAGCTGCTGCAACTGCGAAGCGGAAGGGCCCGAAGAGTTAAGCTGTCCTCCCGCGGACCGCCTCACTCCTGACAGCTGAGACAGCAGCTCTGCCAACGGAAACGAAGGGGGTTAATGTCTCGTTAGATGCTGCGGGAAACAAAAGGCTGAAGGTCGCGCTTTTAGAGGAGCATTAAAAACGATGGCCAACAGGCAGGTGGGTATCCATGGCAACACAAAGTTCAGCTGGGAGCTCAGCACCTTTCTTTTTATTAAAGATTTTATTTGTAGGTCGTAATCTCTACACTCGACGTGGGTCTTGAATTTAACAATCCCAAGACCAGGAGTCGCATGCTCTACTGACTGAGTCAGCCAGGCGCCGCCCCTCGGTACCTTTTAGGATGCCTCCTGGAGGTAGCGGCTGTTGGGCATGGAGAATGCAAATCCATGAATATTAACCCGCATACAATTATTTTTAAGCAGAACATAAAAGATTGTTGCTTAATGGACTAATTTAGTTATACTTTCTCTCAATATTGTAGTAAATTAAAGTGGATCATCTGCTGGCCCAATCATAATATAAACCTTCTCCATACAAGCTCCATGAAAGAAGGGGTCAAGTCTACCATTTATACTATTCCAGCTCCTAGAACAGTGCCTGGCGCATAGTAGGCCTCAAACATTTACTCAATGATTGAATGATGATCCGAATTACATCCAAGAGGCCCAGATCATTTCTGTGACCCTTGCACCACTCACCTTTGCCTTGTCTCTGGTACTTTCTGGTACTGTCATTTGAGAGTCCTGGAGTACCACTGGACTATCACTGGTGATGTTCAGTAAGGCTGACTGGCTCCTGACTGTACAGCCTAGTTAGTGGCCTGTTACAATCCAGACTCTCTTCTTTCGATAAGGTTGAACTCACCAAGAGCAATGTGGACCTTTGTCCCTGAGTCCTCATCTAAGTAGGGTGCAGGAAGCGCCTTGTCCCACATGGGAGAGTTCCACCTAGCTTACATGGAATTACGTGGAATTGTCTGCCTTACTAGCAAATACTCTTCGTCGTTAAAATTCTTTAACGGGTGTTTCTGTTTTCTAGCTCACTGTTGTTTTATCCCACAGGTTCTTACACCATTCTTTCATATAGCCTACAACTAAAATAAACTAATTTCCATCAGCAGAAAAAATTGGAAAGAATTTCTCACTTTTGAATTTTGTTTCCAGAAATGAACTTTTACAAAAAGCCTACTAACAAAGACAGTAGGTAAATATTCCCTTTGGATGAAGAAGTATTTTTTAAAATCCCCAAAACTCAGTTCACAGGGTTTATTGCACATCCAAATGCCCAAAGCACATTTGGAATTTAGAGGTTATATCTGTAGGTCTGTACATTTTAAAGAACATTGTATGAGTAAAACTGTTCCTAGTTTGTACCACAGATCCACACTTACCAGCGTCCCAGGGTGTTCTGCAAGGTGCATCACGATTTTCAGGCACATATTCACCATGCGCACACATTTCAGAACTTGTACAGGCTTCCCAGAGTCTTACCTTAGCCTGTCTGTGTTTCGTGCATCTTACAGTCTCAGGCTACTGTGATTTCTGACATTGTATTTTCACCTCCAACCTCTTTGCTCTGCTGCTGGCTTCCCAGGTTGGTCATGTACTAAGCCCAGAGGACTTGGCTATGAACTACATATTCAAATGTTGTCGTTTTTTAAATAAGATTTTCTCAAGCTACTGAAACACATACTTTTTAGTATGTTCCCTAAGAGTATAGTTCTCAAATCAAGGCAAGAACAGAGAAACTCCTACTTTACTTTCTTCTATGAGAAGAGCTTAATTCTCTAGTCTTGTCAATTAGTTTTATTATCTGTGTGTTTGGGGGGTTGAACCATGGAACTCTGAAAGTCTTCCGACTCTGAAATCTTTGATCATTTTCTTGGGTTTCAATACAGGCCACAAATAGAACCCAGAGCCATTTCTTAGTATCTTCTGCTCTAAGTGCTTAAAGAAATGTCAGAATGATATGAACTACTTTATGTTGCCCACTTTTAAAATATTTCATACTAATAAAATTTGGGGAAGTTCTGTGAAGGAATGTAGGAGCATGATGAGAGACTAAAACCACAAATTCCACCAAAACATTTTAAAGGAAGGCCCCCTCCCTGGCCATTTCCTTTATTAATGGGAAACTAACTTACCAGCTATAGGATCCATGGCCTCCCTATTGCTTGGAGAATATGAACTCTGAGAGGAAGAAAGTCCACCAGTAGAACTGCTAGTAAAGTGCATGTTTGATCTACGAGCACGAGGACCTCCTAGTCCCCGGCCAGGGTGAAACATTCTACGTACATGTCGAACACCACTCGATTCATCGTAACTCCAAAGTTAAGAAAAGAACCCAAGTATTTCACAGAAAGAAAAAAAAAAAAATCACTCGAGCCCCTGTTAGACAGACATGCAGATTTCCTAAATTGTAAGCATTTAAAAATAGCACATTTCATTTAGAATGCAAACATCACAACCATATCTACAAGGGCTATTAACGCTAAAAAAAAAAGACACTCAAATACAAAGCAACATGTGAGTGAATGAGTGAGTGAGTGTGAGTGTGTGTGTGTGTGTGTGTGTGTGTGTGTGTGTGTGTGTGTGTTTTCAAAGGGAAAAATGTTTTTCCAGATAGGAACAAATTTCTTCCTAGCCTCCAGCGACAATAACCGGGTGGGGTAAAGGGCACCATTGGGTCAGACTCCCAAGATAAGGCATCGCCTTACCCTGACCTCAGGGCTGAATTTCATATATGTTCATACTGAAGTAACCAAAATTAATAAGCATCAATTTTTTTATCTGAGGGGAGCTATGCTAATCAAGTCTCAATTATCATCTGGAATAGAAAAGAACGGTATGAGCAGTTTTATTTACATTTTTACAGTTTTTTAGGTTTTATTTATCTAAGTAATCTCTACACCCAACATGGGGCTCGAACTCACCAACCTGAGATCAAGAGTTGCATGCTCTCTGACTGAGCCAGCCAGGTGCCCCCTGCATGAATAATTTAAATTCAGGAATAAAAGACTCCTTTTGGTTATTAATCTGTCTTCAAGTTGTTTTTTAATGCTGCTGCTAAACTGAAAACTAGATTTGAATTTTTTAATAGCAGTGGACAGAGAGAGAGTAACACCACATTTATCAAGAGGTCAAATTCCGAGGGGTGCCTGGCTGGCTGTCAGAAGAAATTACTTAAAAAAAACAAAACAAAACAAAAGTCAAAGCTAGCAGCCTAACCCACCTTCTACAGCTGACAGCAAACAGCCGCCCAAACTCATGAAGACATGAGTAAGTAAAGAAGGTCCTGAACAGCAAACAGCCGCCCAAACTCATGAAGACAACCTTGTGTTTCCACACAGGCAAATGTATGGGTAAAGCACAGCCAGAGACTTTTCTTTCAAAGCAGTACACGGAACAGCTATATGGTACAGAATGACTTTTTTAAAAAAATGTTTATTGAAAATATTTTTGAGAGATCCAGAGGGAGAGCGCAAGAAGGTGAGAGGCAGAGAGGGAGTGGGGGACAGAGGATCTTAAGTGGGCTCTATGCTGACAGCAGAAAGCCTGATGTGGGGCTCAGACTCATGAATCGTGACATCATGACCTGATCCAAAGTCGGGACACCTAACCGACTTAAGCCACCCAGGCGCCCTGGTGCAGAATAACTTTGCTGGCTTCCCAGTTTTCAGCCGATGATTTTGGAGTGATTTAAGGATAGGATGAGTGATTACTGAAGCCCTCAGGTGCCATTATAATGTGTACTGTTTCATCATGGTATTCATGATAATGGCTTAGGTTTTACAGGAAGTAATGTTATGATCACCATATTTTGTTTTTAAAAAAGCATCTAGGTGTAAAAAGTACACTTTAGGAAGGTTCCATCTAAACAGAAAAAAAAAAAAATTCTGGTGCCTATGAGGTTCGGAGAGAAGCTATTCCCTCATGACAAAGTCACCACACAGAATCACTCGAAGAACCTGAAAAATCAGTATATTTCCAGGATAACTGCAATGTCAACGTTTTGTTTTCCAGAGCTTAATGGCAATACTGGTTAGGAATCTAAAATGTAACATATGCCTTCTCCTATTTTTATTTTGCATAATTTAATGTTCTCTTGATAACCAGGGACTTATAAAAATCTCACAAAAATGGATGTAGGTGACACGGGACATTCTACTGAATGGATACTAATTTCATTACAGGACCCCGAACTTGCTGAAAAAGTTCAGGATTCAGGATAACAGCCTGGCTTGCAATTACTTGCCTAGCTTCTCCATGAAGATGGTGCAGAACAGGGATCAAGCATAACCCTGCTCCGTATTGTTTTAAGATTCTTTCATATAAAATGTGAAGTGACTCAAAGACTTAAGTATTCTTGGCCCATTCAGGTTTTCTTATTCTCTTCAAGAAAAAAACAAAAAAAAATCACAACTTTCTTCATTATGCTTTCATGTCCTCAGCACTTAGGAGAGAGGAAAAGTGGTGTCATCTGTTCCTCTGTCCTTGACTGGCTCAGGTCTGGCTGACATTCTCATTTCTTAGGTTGGCTCCATATCTTTGTATTCGCTTTTGTTTTCTTTTATTCCCCTAACTCCGAAGGGCCATGCTGCCAATTAGAACATTGGGAACTGTGAGCAAGGGATGGGAGCTGGGGGACAAGAAAACCGTCAAGCCAGTTTCTTCCTCAGTAGGACCATGGCTGGATTATGGTTGCCGGGAGGCAATCAAAGAAATCAGAATAAAGTCTGGCAAAGAGGAAAGTCGTGATTAGCTCTTGAACCACTTCAAACTGCAATGAATACTGAAACCTTTACATGAAAATGGACCCCTGAGTTAATAGGTGACAGTTTTCGAAAAACAATTCATAACTTGAGACGAGAAGCACACAGCGCACAAAATTAATTACTCCGGTGGGCCGTTCATCTCTTGAAGATCACAGGGAACATCACCAGCAACTGCTGAGAGACAGACTTGCGAAGGGGAAGCAGAAAGGAAAGCAGGAAAGGACTTCAGAGCTGGCCGTGAACTGATGCGATCCTACTCAGAGACTGGGCGGGGAATGACAGTCTCTGGAGAAAGGGGCTCCCAAGGGAGAGGAGCCCCGGCATGCACTCCTGCTCATCATCCCCCACTAGAATGGGGTACCGGCAACAGAGGACACAGAGGGGAAGCACATAAATTCTCCTTGTACTCAACTAGATTTTAATTCAGATTAGTGTTTTCCTCTTTCGTATGAAAACACCCTGCTGAAGACTTATCACCTGGGCAAAGGGTCTTAAGGGCATCTGACCGAAACGAAGTGAAGATGACGAGCAAGGCGGCTTTCAGTGAGTGTTGTTCATGTGACGGGCACAGCATGTAACAAGAGAAATAAATTGCATCTCAACACCGAGTCACTTTTAGGAAAGGTCAAATAAACTCAAATAAATTGGAAGTTAGTTTATCTCTTTGGGTATATTGTCCTTAAAAATAATCAAAATGACAAACATTACAAACAACTCTATCCCTTCTTGCCTCTTAAAAGGATATTAAATCTCTAGGGGCTCTGTGTTCAAGTGTAAGATGAGCTGCAAAGTCATCCGTGACATGATTAGGATCGCCTCCAGGTAATGCTGCACATATTGGACAAATCTGAAATGAAAGTAAAGAAAGCAGATTTAATAGATGGATATTGATCAGACATCTTGTTGGATGAATATTTTACTATAACTGAGTTTTAACCAGGCAACAACACAGTAGAGATCCTGAACTAGTAAACAGCAACGGAGGCCTGAATATGAACTACGGCACATCCACGCTGTTACTTACAACTCCGAGAGATAACCTCTCAGGGTCAGACACAACGGTTCTAGACAAACAGCTCAAACTTGAGCTCTGGTAAAGCCTTCTAACAGCCTGGCCGATTCATTTGCATGGTCTGACAAAACACTTTCCATAAAAAAAATTTTGTTTAAAGATGTGCTATTTAATTAGTGCACATTCACATCTGACTAAGTTTGGTCTTGAATGGTAAAGACGGAGACATAAGCCTCCCCAAAGTAAGCTAGATTTGAGGGCCAATCTCCAAATACAACAGCAAAGCTCTTATTAAAATACAACTATACAAGCTCATATATTAAGACAGTGATTACTGGTAATGTGCAAATATGCTCTATAAATTCATGAATAGGACTTCCAAGGGAAAATGGGGATGGGAGCCCATTTTTAGAACTCTATCTTTCAGAGGAATGGGAGGCGGAACAAAAGCTTGTTCAGGTTAAGGTCAAGGAGTAGAAGTCCAACTTCTTGTGCGCCTTAGGGCAAGGGATAGGAGAAAGGAATAAAGTGTGTGTGCACACACAGAGCTCAGGGGAGCCTTCAGAGGCTGGAAATGTGGTTTCTGAAGCGGTAGGTTAGAGAGGAGTGGTGACACAGGAAGAAGAGGGGTAGGATCAAGAGAAAGGAACTTTGAGAGGAAAAGCCCCTTCTCTTCCAGAAATCCAAATGGGTAAATGATGGTCTAGGAGTGGAAGCCAAGCCTTGAGGTGTAAAGAACTTGAGAGCTAAAGAACAGAACCAAACAGAAAGGTCTGATGCAAAGGGGCACAGCCAAAGGGAGCCCCAGGAAGTGTACAAAGCTTTAGGCTTGTGTCTCTCTAGGGAGAAAAGAACTGAGGCTAGGATATGTGATTTACGTTGCCAATACACATGTTGTATCTCTGAATTCTTTCACCTGGAGTAAAATTCAGGCACTCGGTTGACCTTGCTGCCTGCCTGTGGTGGTGTAAAAGAGATGAAGAGGCAGGCGCAAGGCGAGACTTGAAAGGCCAATACTGGGATACAGACGGGAAAACAAACTATCTGATCCCCAGAGCCTATGCCAACGCAAATCACCATCTTCTCAGGACTAGAAAGCAGAAGTCCCCTGAAAGTCTGACTCTGATTTGATTCCAGTTCCTCTTATGCCCATTCAGCTGTTCTGATTATATCTGCTTCAGGAGTCTGAGAAATATCCTTAAGAAACCCTAAAGATGCTCATGAGAAATAACACTTAAGCAGGACAGTGTGCAAAAGAAGAAGGGAGGTCCCATAGGAACGTGCCTGCAAAGAAATGAAGAAAGCACTGGATAAACATGTGCATGCCTTTCTTAGAAGATGCCACAGAGGTGTTCAGACATTTTTTCCTCTGTCAGAGAGAAGAGCAGTTGTATCTGTTCATAAATTTACAGATAATCAACTCTCTCTCCCAGGAATTTAGGTTTTACTGTCTGTGTCATTCCTGTACTATGAAACTGCCAGGCAGTGTCCGCTGTACTTATTTTACTTTTTGTGTGTTTCTGTCTTGCCTAGATTGTCAACGGTTTTGAGAAATGCAGGACAGTGTGATTTGGTTGTTGTTTGGGAACCGTGACCAGACTTGCTTAGAACAAAAAGACCAACAGGTTTGGAGAAGCAGAAACAACCTCCAGTTTAACAAATCAAACAAACAAGCCAGCTTAGATATTTTTGAGTCCCTCAATTTTGCAACAATTTAACAGGTGCTGGACAATGCAGAGCTTTATTACAATGCGACAAGATTACAAGTGTTAAGATTTTTATCCACAGAAAAAATAACCAGTAAGAGGAAAAGGCACCTTCCTTCTAAGACATTTGCTTTAGACTGGCCTTTGGCTAAGGTCTACGCACAACTCGAACTGCACAAAAGATAACTGTAGAAGTTTCAGTACTTTGAGGACACACGCAAATGTTCTTAGATGAGAGAAGTATCCTTGAGAATATGCATTCCCAGAAGGAAGACAAAATGGGAAAGTACAGATATCAAATGTACTAAGAATGCCCTAACAGGACCGACAGCCTCCTATACCCTAGAAAAGCACCTTCGAGATGGGGATGTAGACTAGTGCTTAGTTTTGAGTGTGTCTTTACTTCCACACACCCAGTATTTTGCAGAGGACAGAAAAATTCCACACAAAAGATACGCTGTTAACCCTAAACTTACGAGTCTGTCGACATTAATATTTATCATGCTTCAACTGCCACATGATATAGTAACATCTATCACTTGAACAAGCAAATTCCATGTAACACATTATCTTAACGCAATGACAACTTGCCAGCGTTCAGGCATATTGAACTGGCATAAGTCAGTGTTTCCTGAAATTGGCTGAGGATATAATTCATCCAGAATATTTGGTAAAAACACAGTTCTCTAGGCCCCTGCCTGGAAACTGATTCTAGGAGATTTGAAAATCTATATTTTTGACAAGGGTCCCAATTATCTTACAATTAGGTAAGTTTGGTAAATACAGCTTAAATATACAACGGTATTTAAAAATAATAAATATCCTGAGGAATGAAACATGAAATGTTGTATTTACTATCCCCTGGCTCAAATTCTTTCTTTTTTCTTTTCTTTTCTTTTTTTTTTTTAGTGTTTTTATTTTTGAGAGAGAGCGCACAAGTGGGGGAGGTGCAGAGAGAGAGGGAGACACAAAAACAGCCACAGAGGGGTTAAGTTCTCATGATGTAGTGAGCTCTTCTTCATTTTTTTTTTTTTTTTGGATAGGCTTCATTCCAAGTTTCTTGGCCATTTTGTTCACTGTTCCAGAAAATGCATTTTAAAAAACTGTCTATCTGATCCAGTATATAACCTAGCTTGAACTGAAGCTACTAGACCACAGCACTACAGAGAGATCGGTCTTGCACCAAAATCATTCAGCAGATGCTGACAGCTAGGCTGGTTCTTTACCATGAGGCTGACCCACTTTGGAGCATCATCCTTTCAGACCACTTGAAACTGCCCTTGAGGGGCGCCTGGGTGGCGCAGTCGGTTAAGCGTCCGACTTCAGCCAGGTCACGATCTCGCGGTCCG